GAAAATGAACCCTAAGGAATTCCAACCCAATTTGCATTTTTCCCAATGACTATTTCAATGCTTTTGGGGGGATTTCAAAGAACCAAATTATTTCCGTTTTTGAGAGGAGGGGAAGCATCCTGACACACGCAGTCTGTTAGGTGACCTTGGGCATCGTCTGCACACCAAAGTTCCTCAAAAAATATTTGTTACATGAATGAATGGGAAAGGCCCTTGGAGAAGTTAGGTCACTGTGAAGTGAGATGGATTTGACACCAGGGGAGAGGCTGTAGGGCGTGCCTTGAAGGCATGAGAGAGAGAGAGAGAGAGAGTGTGTGTGTGTGTGCACACGTGCATTTTGCCATGGTGGGTGAGCACACAAAGAGCTGCTTTCCAATTGTCCCAAGGCCTTCCCCTGCTTACACTCTCCCCTGACCCGAGATTCCCCCCAGCCAGTTAGGTGCACTCAGGCTGAGGCTCAGACCAGAGCAGGCAGCTGCTCTGTGCGCTCCACCCCCCCACAGCAAATGTGAGGTCAGGGTTGGGGGGGGTGGGGGCGGGAAGCAGGAATCTCATTTCTCCCTCCCGAGAACGGGAAGAGTTAGAATTCTGTGTCCATTATTCAACCAATATATGTTGAGCAATTACAGTGTAAACACACTGGACTAGGCTCAGGGTTACTGCTGTGAATGTGACTGAAGCAGTGCATCTCTATGGTGCCCACCGTCTATTGAGAGACTGACAGTAAATAATCACACAGTGACCTAATTACAGGCGTGAAAGTCTGGTGGAGACAATGACCAGGGGGTTGGAGAGGAGCCCTGACTTAGTCACGGCTAGGGAACTCAGTCAGTCCTGGCTTCCCCAAGAAAAGGTGGGGAATTTAAATCCGAAAAATTATCCAGGTGATTTGCAGGAGAATTCCAGCTATGCAAATGTAGGAGGAATGATAGAAAATTACTTCATAACCACGATGTAGAAACGAATTCAGGCAAGGATCATCAGTGGACACTAAAATACTAAAAGGGGGTGAATTATTGTTGCACCGTCTCAAATATCACCCACAGATTCCTTATTAATCACAAATATTTAAAAATAACTTTGGAAGGAAGAACCTGGGTATACCACTTTAACCAAGTGAACAGACTGAGCCTCACTGATAATGAGACAACCTAACACAAAATGTTTCCAAGGTGACACAGTGGGAAGCCACCCATGCAGGATTCTTACCAGACTGTTCAACCTGATCGCACTGAGAAAACGACCAGCAATTCCAGATGGTGGGACATTTTAAAAGACAATTGACCTGGACTCCTTAAAAAAATGTCTGTGTTATAAAAAACAACCATGTATTTTCTTTTAAGATTTACCATACCTTAAGAGCTCAACAGAGGTTGATTTAGAAACCATCTTTGGTCCTAAAGGTCACAGGAAACCAAGCAGTATACTTGGTAGTGGGCTTGTCTCTCACGTAGAGCTGCCTTCCCTACCCCCTTCCCCCTCTTTCCTTCCTTCCTTCCGTCCTTCCCTCCCTCCCTCTTTCTCTCTCTCTCTTTTCTCTCTCTTTCTTTCTTTCGTCTCTCTCTCTCTCTCTCTTTTTCTCTTTCTGATCAGTAAAAAAAGATAATAAAGATAATAACACTTGCCCCTCCACCCCACACTTTATTTAGGAGTCTTCCCTCTTTTTGGCCACACACCTTTTGGATATCACACCCTACCCCCTTTTTATTTTAGAACTTTATTAATGAACATACAAGAAACTGCATATATTTAGTGCAGTTTTTGAAGCCGCCACTACAGTCAAGATAACTAATATATCCGTCACCCTCAAAAGTTTTGCCCTGCCCCTTGTGGTCTCCCCTGCTCACCTCTCCCCCTGTGTCTGCATCGCCAGGTACTAGTGATTTGCTTTCTGGAACTGAAGATTAGTTTGTATTATCGAGAAGTTCATATAAATGGAATCATACCATATGAACCCTTTTTCTGGCTTCCTTCAACACATGTGTTGTTACATGTATTAATAGCTCATCCTTTTTTATTGCTGAACACAATTACCTTGTATGGATCTACTATAATTTATTCATTTACCTGTTGATGGGCATTGGGATTGTTTCTAGTTTGGGTTTTTATTTTTCCTCTGTGTACAGGTTTTTGTCTAAACATAAGGCCTTCATTTCTCTTTTGTAAAATCCTCAGAATGGAATGACTAGCTTATATGGTGGGGCTATGTTTAACTTTTAAAGAAATTGCCAAGTTCTTTCCCAAAGTGGTTGTACGACCATTTCACATTCCCACACACATTATGTGAGTTCCAGTTCCTTGTCTACTCTTCGTAGGAACAGTCTTAAAGTTTAGCCATTCTTGAAGGCATGGAGTGTATCTCATTTGCAAATCCTATTCTTAATTTACATTTCTGTGGTGATGTTGAGCATCTTTTCATGTGTTTATTTGCTATCTGCATATCTTCTTTGAAGTGTCTGTTCAAAATTTTTGCCCATTTCAAACCTTTTTATTATAGTCTAAAATATGTCCTTTGTTGCATATGTGTTTTGCAAATATTTTCTTCCTCCTGTGACTTACCTTTCATTTTCTTTGTGTGTTTTGAAGGACAAACATGTTTAATTTTGATGAAGTCCAATTACTTTTTTTGCCTTTTGCTTTTTGTGTCGTATTTGAAAACTCATTGCTAAACTCACAGTTACTAAAATTTTCTCCTGTTTTCTTTTGAAAGTTTTATATAGATATAACCCTTACATTCTCTTTTCCTTTGTGGATACGTGAGTTACTTTCACATGTTCTCTTTGGGGTGCGAATTTTCACTTGTAGGCAAGACAGAACATTTCTGGTACTCTTAGAATCAGGGACCTTTGAGATTTCATTTATCCTGCAAGCATTTTCATCTTCTTATGTGATGTTAGAAACCTTTTGTTTTCTTGGACTTCGTGTGCTACAACTTGCATAAAGCCAATCTTCTTATCTACAAATATTAATAAATATTCACCATCTTTATAGATGGGAAGATTAATTCCATCCTTACTGTTAGGACAGGGAATAACAATAAGTAACAGTAAAAATAGCAGTTAATTATTGCATACTTACTGTAGCCCTAGCACTGTGGTAAAGAGCTTTAGATTTATTGTCTCATTAAGCTTTACATCAACCTTGCAAAATAGGTACTGTTGTTATTCCCATTGTATAGATAATTGAACTGAAACTCAGATGAAGCAACTTGATTTAGCTCACAGAACTGGGATCCAAACCTGGGTCAAGCTGATTAGCAGAAAAAAGTCCTAATCACCACATTGTACTGGCAGTTTATGTACCTGTAGCATAAGAGCAGTCACTGCTAAAACTGAAAGAACGCAACAGCAGCAGACTCCCAGACTCCCAAGAAGGGACCAGCAGTTACCAAAGGGGAGGGATGGGGGAGGGGGGGCGGGGAGAGAGGGAGAAGGGGATTGAGGGGTATTATGATTGGTACACATGGTGTTGGGGGGTTGCGAGGAAGACAGTGTAGCACAGAGAAGACAAGTAGTGACTCTGTGGAATCTTAATACACTGATGGACAGTGACCCCAATGGGGTATGGAGGGGACTCGATTATATGGGTGAATGTAGTAACCACAAAGTTTTTCATGTGAAACCTTCATAACAGTGTATATCAATGATAACTTAATAAAAAAAATTTTTTTTAAGAATAACCCTATTTCCAGATAAGGGCACATTCTGAAGTACTGGTGGTTAGACTTCAGCATATGAATTTTAGGGAACACCATTCAACCCACAACAGTTCCTCCTCTTGCCCATGGTTATAGATGCTGTCACCTTTAAGTCTCCCTTCTCTGTTCTTGTCCTACCAGTTTGGAATCAAGACCATGCTGGAGACAGAAGAAGGAATCCTACTGCCGCTCAGAGCCATGGATCCTGCTCTTCCCAACATGAGGACTGACGCAGCTAAGCTGCTTTCTGCTCTTTGTATCCTGCCACAGCCAGATGACATGTATGTGACTGGAATTATTTCTCTTCTCCATTCTCTTTTTTACCAGAAATCTTCTGTAGTCTAGAGGAAAATTAGGTTGCTTAGGTGTCCACTCAGGCTTCAATACTAGGTAAGACCATATTTCTTCCCAGACGTGAACACTCAAGTTTAAGATAGATTAAGTGATGGGAGCTGTCTGGAGTTACCACTGGTTATCAGAGGTGTATAGCAGGATACACCCCAGATCTCCATTAATGTCTGTAATGTCTACAACAAGGGCTTCTTTCTTACTTGCTTTTTTTAAATTCTGATGTAACACAATATTGTTTAGAAAATTCAAACAATGTAGAAATACATAAGGTAAAATTTAACAGCCTTATCCTTTTGTCAAATTCTATTCTGTATAGGTAACCGTTGTTAATGGCTTGGTACAGTTTCCTAGATCTTTTTCTAGGACAGACAAATATATTTCATTTCCTGGATTCTAAGACATCTTCTGCCACTCCAAAAGATGGTACCTTGGGGTTAAGGGAAGATGGCCTATGCCTATAAAGCCAAGCTCATGTATAGGATAGATTTTTAATTTTGTTGCTTGGTTTAACAAAAGCTAAATCATATCTTTCATTCTTTTCAACTTGTTTCTTTTTATTTAACAGTAAATCTTGGACATCCTTCTATGTCATTACTTATAGATTTACATTATTATCTTTCATGGCTATTTCTCATTCCATAGTATATATGTCCCATAATTTAACAATTCCCCCATTGCTAAACTTCTGGATAGAATTTTTTTTTAGCCGATTCTGGTCCCTGCAATAGGTGACAAGAACAGTTTTTACTACTACACATGATGCCATAATGAATATCCTCGTAATGTGTGTTCTTCCACATTTATGCATTTATGTGGGATAGGTTTCTAGAAGTAGGCCAGATGTTACAGGGATTAGAAATTGGTATTATTAAATGCCCTTCCCAAACTTCTACCAAATTATACTTCCTAGGGCAGGGGTCTTGATTTGATTTCTATAAATTGGATTGTAGCGATGAACTTAAGGGAATATATTTCTCGGATGGTCCTGAGCGTGCAGCAGGTCGCTGTCCCGGTGCTGTGTGATGCGGACAATGGGGATTCCAGAGCCCTGATGACGCTACGCCCTCCTCCCGCACCGGTCTGTGGCCCCGCGGAGTCTGGGCTGCAGACCTCACTGTGCGAGAGCACCCAGACGGTTCTCTCCCTTTCCCTGTTCCCGGAGAGAAACTGGAGGTTTTTGCGGGCCGTGATGGAAAGTACCAAGACAGAGGACATGGAGCGCTTCCGGCCACTGCTGGATGGCCGAAAAAGTGGGACCTCCATTGCACTCAAGGCATGTATATCCCCTGACACTGGGTCCAAGAGTAGAATTGAAGGTAGAAAGATTTAACTTCACCTTTCCTTTTAAATAGAACACACGGAGTGGCTCCCAATGATACATTGTATATTTTAGAATTTGTTCTGAAGGGAAAATTATTCTCTCTCTCCAAGAGGGCAGAGCAGGAACTGTTTTCTTCATAAGGAAATGGGGAGAAGGCATGGGATCTATTTATAAGCTCAGAAAACCAAGGCCTAGAACAAAGCATCCCATCAAGTCCTTGGACTCATTTAGACCTCTGAGCTCTCCCGGCCTGTGCTTAAACCAGGCCTTACTGCTCAGAAAGTCATTCTCCCAGTTTTTGTAGTGCTCTGACAAAGGGAAAAAAGAAAAGAAAAAGCAACTAGGATTAATTGATTCCTACCTGACAATAGCCATTTTATATATTTCATACACTAATTCTCACAAAAATCCTCTCATGTAAGTAGTTATTACTCCCCCTGTTTTATAGGTTTAATTGAGGCTCAAAGGAGTTAAGGGACTTTTTTTTTTTGATTAAGGTATCATCAGTATACAATGTTATGCTCAGGTTTCCCAAGAATGTACTAACGGTTACCAAAGGGAAAGGGATTGGGGACAGTGGGTGGGAAGGGAGGGAGAAGGGGAGTAAGGGGCATTACAATTAGCACACATAGCATAGGGGGGTGGGCACGGGGAGGGCAGGATAGCACAGAGAAGACAAGTAGTGACTCTATACCATCTTACTATGGTGATGGACAGTGACTGTAATGGTGTATGTTGGGGGGGACTTGATAATGGGGGGGAGTCTAGTCACCACAATGTGATGACTAGGTTTTTGATTCTAGAGACTATTGGGATTATTATACACCATACCTGTTCTGGTTAACTGTCTTTAAAATCTTAGGAGTTTTGTTTAGTTCTGTTTTTTATAACTCTAACAATAGGTAGACTATGGAAATGATCCCTGGTACCCCCTCCTTTAACTTTTACAAGATCAAAATCACGGTGCTCTCCTTTCCCCAGGCAGTCCCTGGGAACGTGAGCTCCGTAGGCCAAGGACTGGCACCAAACAATGAGTGACAGGGAATGATTCTGCTTCTTGCTGAGACGGAGGACTTACTGGGAGTCTGATTCCTTTCTCTTTTAGTTGGACTCAGACTTACCAGCTGGACATGAGCTACGTGTGGAGACGGAGAAGACGGAGTGTGGCTTTGAGCAGAAGCTCAACAATCTTCAGGGGGAAAGGGATACACTGTATTCCGAAAAACAACAGCTTGCAGCAGAGAAACAGGCTCTGGCAACAGAGGTGTCCCAGCTTATAGGACAGGTAATGTCTGAGCAGGGAAAGCAGAGTGACCAGCAACTGCCCTGAGCAGCCTCAGGACAAGCCTGTGTTGGAGCAGGAGTCAGTCATCCTACTCCTGCCACCAATAGGTATTCTAGTTAGTGCGTATTTTAAAAATCATTTACTGTTGTTTTGTTTCAGGGTAAGTAATACATACGATAGAAAATCTGGAAAATACAGAACAACGTAAGGAACGTAATGAGTCACAGTACGACCCAGAAATAAAGCTAATAGTCTTTTAATAAGTTTAAGAGTAAAAACCTCATAAACCATTCACATATTTGCCAATTTTCTCTTTCTTTTAGTCATCTCTGGACAAATTTATCCCCACACACTCTCTGGAGTTATAAATATTTAAATCTGTGATATCTGATAACTCAATAACTTATATGGTTATATAGTTACCTTATAGCACATATGTTAATTATGTAACTAAGATATTCTATTTACTTGACCTTTGCATTATATAATCAAAGGGAGAGTTTGACATAAAGGTTGATGTTGCCTTTTCAATGCAAAATATACTGACCTGGGCACATAGCAACCTGAGTTCTAGTTTTGGCTCTGCTACTGAATAGCTGTGTTATTTTAAGTGAATCGTATCGTTTGTCTGACTCCTTGCAGCCCCTTCATGTGTAAAATGAGAAGTTTGGATTAGGGAATTTCTTAGGTGCCTTCCAGCCCCAGCAGTCCATGAAATGGAGCGAGAAGTATTCCTGTTGATGTCGTTTGTCTAGGTTGCCAAGCTGTCCAAGGAACTAGAAGATGCCAAGAGGGAAATTGCTTCTCTCTCTGCTGCCGTTGGCTTAGCACCTCCCAGCAGGGCTCCTGTTCCCCCTGCCCTTCCTTTACCTGGTGATTCTGGCACTGTTATTCCACCCCCACCCCCTCCTTTGCCAGGAGGGCTGAGCATACCTCCTCCACCACCTCTTCCTGGGAGTGATGCCGTTCCTCCTCCTCCACCTCCCCCTCCTTTGCCTGGGGGTGCTGGCATCCCCCCACCCCCTCCTTTGTCTGGGGTTACTGACATCCCCCCACCCCCTCCTTTGCCTGGGGTTACTGACATCCCCCCACCTCCTCCCTTGCCTGGAGGATCAGGAATGCCACCTCCCCCTCCCCCTCTTCCTGGAGGCCCTGGCATCCCCCCACCTCCCCCTTTTGGATTTGGAGTTCCTGCAGTACCAGTTCTGCCATATGGTTTGACCCCAAAGAAGCTTTATACGCCAGAGGTACAGCTCCGGAGGCTAAACTGGTCAAAGGTGAGAATTTCTATCTTAAGATCTTAAGCCACTGCAGTTTCCTCCCCTGTGTTTTGTGCATGGGTAGGTCGCCTTCCCTTTCTTATGGATCAGATCTGTCCTCAGGTTCAGTTCACGCTTATGTTCACTCAGCAGACACTAGGCATCTCCTGTGTCCCCAGAACATCGCTTTGGAGAATTCTATACTCTGTGGCGAAACCAGAACTGACCCTTAAGTTAAATTTTTTGTCCTTTTTTGTGAAGATAGTAGTGCCATGGTAACACACGGTTTGACAGTAGTCATTTCACCAATCTGCAAGTACTGGTAATTGTGCAGATCCAAAACTCATAGATTTATGAATGCACCCCACTCCCACTATCCTGCAGGTGAATGAGTGACACAGGATATGTGTGCATGATGTGGATTGTTCCCGCTGTGTGTCTGGGACTCGTAAGGTTCTGCATCAGCCTTGTGCTTCCAGAAACCAAGTTCAAATAAAGGAGCTTAGGAATTTGTTCATATAATGAATACATTTGTCATAGTTAGGAAAACTGGTGGGGAAAATACAATGTAGAACAAGAGAAGATAGAAAATAAAAACTTCACTGCTTCTAAAACTAGAGGATTTAAGGTTAGGAGGAGGGATAAGTATCATAACAGAATCTGGTCCTCAAATAATCACCAGTAAACAAACAAGCTGGAAGCATCACCTCCTGATCACACAGAGAGCACAGGTACCCCCTGTGTCTCAGGTAGTCTTACAAGTCTGTGTTAGGCTTAGGATGATAATACTGATAACCAGCCAGCCACCTTTTACGTCTTAGTCACTTTTTCAGGATGAAAAGTACCGAGCTTAGCTTAGCAACTCTTAACATGCTGCCTGTGTCCACAGTTCGCTGCTCAGGACCTGTCCCAGAACTGCTTCTGGACAAAGGTCAAGGAGGACCGCTTCGAGAACAATGAACTTTTCGCCAAACTTACCCAGACCTTCTCTGCCCAGACCACGAGTGAGTACCTTCCTCTCCCATGCAAAGGGCCCTGCAGGACGTGGGGTCCTCTCTAGGTGGGGTTCCCGTGCCTTTCCCTCCCTGTCCTGGGGACGGTTGGAGAGAGGTGGCTTTCCCACGTGGAAGAGAGTAAGGTATTTTTGTATTCTGGGGATGCTGGGGTTGAGAAAGAGAACTGCACAGCATGTAGGTAGTTTTCTCTTCCCCAGTGTTTTTGCATGTAGATATTTTTTGTCACTATAATTTGTTGGTACTGTGAATAAGGGTGGCAAGAAGCTCATTCTGGGCCCATTTTGATGATCCTCTTGAATGGACTCTTGCATGGCCTTAAGCTGCTGTCTCCAGACTGCATCTACATTTAACTGATAGGGGTTGAGCAGTGTCTTTCTAGGTCAGATAGTTGAGCGACTGTCTACAATAACAAAGTGTTATTGATTCTTTTTCTTTCTTCCATTTATTTCCAATATCTGATGCTTTCATCTTCCCGGCCCTTTACTACTACAGCTCCGAAAGGTAAGACTTCAGAAGAGCCTTTCAGTTGGGTCTCTTGAATATTAGAAAAAAAGTAACAGATGTATAGGAATTTCTCTTTAGAAAGCTGTGATGAGATCAGGGATTCATTACTTTTTTGCTAGTAGTATTTTTTTTTTTAAGAGGGCAGAAGGACCAGTCGTTGTGATATTAACTGACAGGAAAGAAAATTATTCAAAGTTTAAGTTGAAGCTGCCATATATGTGTTCTTTCTTTGGAAAGTGAGGGACAACTTGAGTAACAATACCATTACTTACATTTGTATTGTGTTTTATAATTTTCGAAGTGCTTTGACATACATTACCCTGTTTGACCTGCAGAGAAGCCTCATGCGATAGGCAGGCTGGGTATCACCTTCATTCCATTGTGTGTCTAGACTGAACAGTTAGGTAGCTTGCCCAAGCTTGTATGACTAAATCCAGGGGTCTTATCTTCTGGTCCGTGTTTTTTAGTATAAATTCTTGCTTTTCTTCTTCACCTTTCTATCTTCCCCTTTGTGTTAGTACAGCTGATATGTTTTGCCCCCCTCTTTCTTCGTTTCCTAATCCTGGTGGGTTTGTGCTGCTTTGTGACAGGCGCTTGTAGTTATTTCCCCTAAGCGTACAGTATTTGGAAGATCTTGGGTAGCTAATGATAATTACGGCCTATTAATTTTTTGTTAGTGCAGAAAACCTCACTATAGTCGATAGTGATACAAACGCATATAGGGTAGAAGGGCGACAGAGATGGAAGGAGGAGCATACATTTCCAGTGGACACTCATTGCGGTTTTTTGGTTCAGTTTTTTTTAGAGGTTTATCATGACTCTAGTGACGAAAATCACATGCAACTTTGGAGCATTCCTCCTCACCCAGAACCAGTAAATAAGCATTTTTAAAGACACTTTTTTTTCCTTAAGTAATCTGATGGAACCAGGCCACACTTAATTCTGATAAGGAGCCTTGCGCCGCTCAGTGCCCTCGGTGGTCCCCGGTTACATGTGTGCATGCAGGAGTGCAAGATCACAGTGCTCCGACCTGACCTGTCACCCTAGCATCCAGGGTAAAATAGCCTTTTCTTCTAAGAGAACTGTCTCCTTCCAAAATAAAGTCCAGCCCAGGGAATTACTAGTTAAAAGTACTGTGATAATGACCACTTATGTTACTCTCATCTGTCGACAAAGACTAGTTGACATTGAAAATCAAAAGTTCGCAGAATCTAACTCTGTGTGGCTTCTGGCGTAAGTCCTTTTGTTGCAGCCGCAATGAGTGTCCACTGAAAATGTTCGCTCTTCCTCCCCTCTCTGTCACCCTTTTGCCCTATTATATACGTTTGTATCACTGTCGACTGTACTGGGGTTTTCTGCAGTTAGTGGTTTTCCTTGGCTTTGTTTTCCCACTGTGAATTGATAGATAGCACTTTGAAAATACAAATACACATGCACGACCTTATCTCATCTTTTGTTATGTTCAACAGTGTAACCAAACTTTCTAATGCTGCTTCAGCTCTCAACTTCTGCCCTGGAAACTACTTTCTATTCATTGAAGGCTCTAACTTTCTACCAGCTTTGGATATTTTTTTCTTAAGTTATTCTTAGAAATTTCTGTATCTCAATCCAAAAAGTGTAAGTAGGAATTAGTCTACTTAGTTTAGTGGCTGTATTGATTTGCATGTAGTAATAATAATTAGTAGTAGATTGCTGCTATTTGGATGAAGGAAACTTCTAGCTAGTCTTTAAATATCTTTAGTTTTAGTTAGGACTTTCAAGTTAAATTGGCATGCTATCCTAATTTCTCAATCTTTCCATTAGGAAGCACTCTAGATGTTTTGAAAATTACTAAATCATGAGCAGTTTTCCAGATATCCTAAATTGTAACCATTTTAAGAAATACCTGGGGGAGATTTTTGTTTCTTGTCAGATACAGTCAGAAGAGTTTACCCAACTCTTTAACAGTTACATGCAACACTCAGACACAACAAAACCTTCCTCCTTCTTGTCAACCATGTTCACTTATGTTTCCATTAATTCCCTTCCAAAGAACAAATACCATCCCCCTTTTAAAAAATTACTTTTTCTTTGGGTTTTCCATGTTTTACTGACTTCAGTGTTGTCTAATTTAATCTTTTCTTCTCCATTTTTCTGCTTTCTTTCCCTTTGAGTTGCTCTGTGAATCTGTGGTGATGCAGGAGTCTCTCTTTGGGACAGCATAGTTACTTTGATGACATGCATGGGCGTCAGGGAGCAGGTAGAAGTGCCACATATGGGTCCTGCGCATGTGCAACACCCACTGTGACTGAGGTGATAGTTCGCCCTGCCTCCCTGATGCGGTTTTGTGCTGCCTTCTCTTTACGTTCACGCTGGCAAACGCAATGCAGATTGTTTTCAAGTGGCCCCCTTCCTCACAACCTGCCCAAAAAGGAACATTTAGTGAAAAAGACTCTGGGCTTCTTAGAGTTTGGGTTTTTATCAGGTGAGGAATTTCAAGCTCTGGGAACTTCAGAAGGGAGGCCTCAGGGAACCCAGATCTCCCTCGCATGAAAAGGCTTCCTTTGCTTCGGGTGCTTTAAACATGTCCAGTGTAACATCTCCAAATACCTTCATCTTTAATCCTTTTTTGAAGTAGGTAAGCAGTTTGTTACCAAGTCTCACATTCATAGAGTTAATACTGATGATATAAATAAGTGATAGACAAGTACCCAGTACCACTCTACAAATAGTCCGTCTTCCAGATAAAGAAGTAGAGACATGGGTTCAGTAATTTTCGTCAAGACTGTACAGTAAGTGCCAGGACCGGGACTCATACTCCAGATCGTGTATGACTCCAGAGATCTTGCTCCAGCCCTCTGCTTCCCAGAAGTGTTCCGCCCGGCCCTAAAAGCTGACACCCAGACAGAAGACAGAAGGAGGGGCTTTCACAACCACTTAATTCAGGCACGGATGTCCTTGAACTGGCAGTGACTCTTAGAAGTATAAAAAAGAGCAACATTAGGTCAGGGAAAGTAAGTGAGACACTGGATACCTAGGGCTTGAAGAAGAGGAGACATGTCCTAATTAACAGTTTACTTAACCTTAGCAAAACTAATCCAGTTGGAGAAATAAGACATGCTTATCTAGTGCGCTAGGAGTACTGCTTAGACTGTTTCAGCCCAGAGGTTGCCAGTCTTACGAGGAAGTCATTTGGACACTAGGTTTGCATAATATTGACTTATTTCCCCTCTCACTTGCTAAATGACAAGTATCTGCTATTTGTTAAACATGGATGCATCCCTTAGATTTTTGATACCTAAAACCTCCCACATACCTACTGGCTCCTCTAGAATGGATATTGAAGAAAACATCTGACTCACCTATTTACATCTGCCTTCTGTAGCCAGGGGTTATCCGGCTACTGCTTCATTAAGGTTCAGGTAGCTGTGTGCCTTTTTACTAAGGAGCTGATAGGAACTGGTCCTCAAATTCATACCATAGGTTCTCTCACCCATTTTTCTCTCATAAGGATCAGTCTCTTACTTTTGAACTCCTGACTTGTAAGTCAAGAATTTACTTAGTTGCTATATTCCTTACAGGGGACTACTTTGAATTCAGATTCAAAAGGCAGTGCTGTGAAGGTTCTAGTACTTTTTCACATTCTCACTTTCTTTATGGTGTTCAGCAAGGAGTCTTTTATCATGGTCTCTGCTGACTTTGCTTCTTGAATTCCTTGGGAACATGTTCAGCTGGTAAACTTTAGTTCTTTTATCTTTTTCTGGGAGGCATTTTCTTCCCAGTGGTGACCACAAGTAATTATTTGTCTGTACAAGAAAATTAGTTTTCATTCTGCTTTTCTTCTAACTCATACTCTCTTTTGTTGATGTCACAATCTCATTAAAAATAACTCTTAAAACACAGTGGAGTACATGATAACTCATGTCCTATGTGCGGTGACGTTTTCCTTTTTTGGTTTATGCCTTCCTTCCAGAAACCTTTTGGACTCATAAGACCCACAAGTTAATCACACTTACTGGGTGTGCAGTGGACAGTATGTAGCATTGGACCCTCTCCCTGTTAAACTATGAGGTGCATTATGGGAACCATGAGCATCAGAACAGTTCTTCATTCAAGTGGTTAATGACAGTAATTCAGAAAGAACTGTGGCTTAAAAAGCAAGATCTTGACCAGAAGCTGAGGATTCCATGAATCATAACAGTAGTCTAATTAGGATTTGACTGTGTGGACCCAGATCCCGAGGTTTGTGGTGCTCTCCCACAAGTCAGAACTGTGGGCAGCACAGCTGGATTTACCTGTCTTCTGCCTCCCCAGAACCTTTCTGGCTCAGGCTTCAACAAGGGCCTGTGGTGGGGAAGCAATCCCCCTTTTTACAAGAGACTGACAGGTCTTTTTGCTTTTCCCTGTGATCCTCTTCTGTCCACTAGGTGGCACCCACCAAACTGGGTTTTTTATCAGGAAATCTTTACCGCTTCCTAACTTTAACCCTTAGCAACAGGATTTTGTAAGATCTCAACGTGCTCCACACTATTTATTGAGTCTCTTGACAGAAAGATGTCTGTTCCATCAGTTCCTTCCTCTTCTCAAGTGTATTAGGATTTGGACCAGAGGTGCCCTTCACGTGAACATTTGTTGGGATTGTATTTCAACTACTGCCTTTTCTTAGGTTTTGAGTAGGGTCGGACTGTTTGTGCACAGTACTGGGGAAGTTTCATGATGTCAGATGGTGTTCCCTTGTGACTTAAAAGCATAAGTCTACCCCTATCGCCTGAGGTTTCAGGGAGCCCTGCACTGCCCATGGACGCGAAGTACCACACCTCCTCTGTGGTCTTCTCCCCACCATTCGTGGTATAAAAAAAGAACCTTAACTCCCCCTCCCATAGTGCTCTATACTCCCAACCGTGCTATCACTGTTTGCCTTGAATCACAGATTTAATATTATGCCATTTATTTTGGTGTATGTCACTCACCATGGGAAGCCCCATTATCCCAGATGACCCTCATCTCCCATACTTGAA